CCTGGAGCCTGTTTCAGTCTGTGACTCCCTCTCTCTCTGACCCTCCCCTGCTCACGCTGTCTCTCTCTCTCTCTCCTAGAAATAAAGAAAACATTTTAAAAAAATTAAAAAAAAAAAAGGAGCTGTGAAAGGGCTTTAAGTTGGGGAGTGTCACGACTGCTCTAACCCAGTGTGGACAACAGATTGCGGTGGGGGGCACAGGAGGCTGACAGGCTGCTGCCGTAAGCCAGAACAGACCTAGACAGGGCAGCTGAACTAAAGCACTTGCAGCCAATAGTGGGCAACCTCCATTTTCAATTAGTTACCATGCTAGCTACTCAACTGCATTAGAAAGCAGGGACCCTGTGGCTTAGAGGACTACAATCATGATCTTTGTCGAAACTGGGGATCTTTGCCCATCCTTCACAACGCATCTGGGAGTAGAAGTCATTGCATAATCTTGCTACGTCTTATTCTGCAACATGACATTGTCAAACTCTGATCTTTAGTTTTAATAAGTGAATTCAGCAACCCAACTGGACCTCAGACTTAAAGGAGATTGTGTGTGTCAAGCACTAAGGGCTATTGCATCTGATAGAGAATTCTAACTGTGAAAGCCTTTAAGAATAATATGACAATATTTTACGTAAGCTTGCTGATTTTGGCTTGTACAGACTACATTCTTGATGTTGAGGAATTGTACCTTCAGGTATAATTACATCAAAGATTCAAATTCTCTTCTAAAGTATATTCCCATGACCTCTGAAACTCATAGAGCTTTAATATCCTTTTTTTCTATATTGTAGCCAAATCCTTAGGAGTGAAATAAGGTAGTAAGAAAGGTGTCTTAGACCCAAAGAAAAAAAAGAAAAACTATTACTAACGGGGGCTGGGGACTGAGCCATATTTCACTTAGAGCTACATACCTTTTTTTTTTTTTTTTTTAAACCAAGAGATGAACACTTCCTTCAAATTAAGCCCATTAAAAGTGCATTTTTTGAAAGAAAAAAAATAACTGCACAGGCTTGGAAAGGGTGAAGAGAATTTTACCAGCACTGAATAGCAATTAGACCCTTACAAGAGTTCTACCATCTTTAAGCCTCTACACTAAACCCAGAGAGAAAATGACATGGTCCAAAATGGTAAAAACAGACCCAGGACACCCCTGCCTCTTTTACCATTCTACCCAATTCCCCGACAACCTCCACCACTCCCAACTCCTTTAACGAAAGAACTAAAAAACCAAGATTTCAGGAAAGGTCACTACAAAATGGGTTTTCCATAGTCCCTTCGAGTAGGGATTATTCAGGTGCTTCAGAGGTAAGAAGCAGCATCGACACCACTGTTGAGTACCTAATATTCTACTCCTCCAGGACACCTATCCGAACAATATCCAACCATTCTTCCATCATGGCACACATAGCAGATAAGAACGCTGTATTTGTAGACCCGCTGGAGATAAAAAGAAGTAACCCCAGCACCCACTTGATGGCCAAGAATGCTGAAGGGGCCATTATCTTCACGTTCCTGAAGCTCAGCTCAATCAGAATCTTGCTTTTCCTCAGCCTTTTAGGATTAACTGCAATATGCAATGCTCTCAGAAATTGTTACTTTCAAAATCAGACTCTAATAATTACTAGCTACTAGCCTCCAGCCAATAATAACTTTACTTACTCTTAGAAAGTACAGGAAAACTGCCTATCTTACAGAGGTACTGTGGAAATTAAAAATAATATAACAAAAGCTCTTACCACAACGCTTGGCAGGCAATCAATGTATACAGACTGTTATTACCAAGAGGGCTGTTCAATTAAAAAAGAAAAATCCGACCTCTGTACAGTGGTGACGTTTCGGAGATAAGAAACTGCAGTCTTCCCTCACCCTAGTGTCTCAGAGTTAAAACAGTATATACAACAATAAAAACCATAAATTGTCCCCCTACTTCTTCCAAATCATTATCTTTTCCCTCCTTAAAAATACCGTAGTATCTGAAAAGTGATCGCCCTTGCCCCCCATCCACTAACGATTGCAAGTGTGTATAACACTGATACACATACACAAGTGATTCTGGTATGTTTATTTATGTTCCGCAGAAGCTGAGCTGGAAAACCAGTACAGGACCGCCATCAGACATTTGGAGGGGAAAGAAGATATCAGCACTTTATTTATTTATTTATTTATTTTTTGGACCTCCCTAAAGTGAATAACCCAACCATCTAGAGACAAAAATTCTCCCCCCTCCCAACACACACACAAATGTGGACAAGATTCTTCTCTATAAGTAGCCCTTTTTTCCCTGAAAGCCCTGCAAAGAAGTGTTGTATGAACTACTTCAAAATAAGTGATACAGATGACTGCACATTCAGCGGTCACACCAGAGAACACCTGGATCTCTGAAAAGAAGTGTGGAAGTGACTACTGGTAAATCATGCCAAGGTCATACCAGAATGTCTGAGGATTCCATGTCCCCATGGGAAAAATAAGCCACTGTAACCAATTCTGTGATGTACCGTGTTTTCCAAACAGTGGTGACTCCCAATGTCCTCCTTCTGATTAAGACAGGAACAGTTATCAACTCCAAACAATCACTAGAAAGTCTCTTCTTAATAACTCTGGATAAACATGCTTAGGTAGTAAGTATTTAAGGCTGGAATACAAGTTATTATAATGCCTAATCGCAATACACCAAATATAATTTTAACCTTTCAGGGGAAGATAGTTTTGGAAGGACAGCAAAAGATTCTTCTTGAATTGTCCTTTAACTCTGCTAAAAAACACGAAGCCTAAGCAAAGTCTGTATGGGCCAAGACACTGGAATACAAACAAAAACCCCAGCAAAATAAACGTTTCCAAAGGCAACAAGTGTGTGATCACCTCCACATTCATTCATTCAGTGGAAACATGGGAATACCTTCTGTGTTCCAGGGACATAGCATAGGAACATACGGACGTAGAAGGCATGGCTCTTGCTCTGAAAAAATTCAAGGTCTAAAAATAATGTCTGAAGAGTCACAAGTCATTTTGTAATAATACTGTATTCATAGAGACAGAGATACATAGACTAGTAAGATACATTTAAGTACACTAATAAAGAGGCTTTTCAAAAGGCTCCTACTGCGAGTTTACTAACAAATTTTGTTACCTGAGTGTGGGAACACGATTCAAGTTCTAACGTACTTTCACAAGAAATAACTTATGACACATGTTTGGTAAAGGGCCCCCTCCCCTCCCCTAGCCAAACACAATTGGTAAGTCGGGTGCTTCTCGGCTTGGCAAGCAGGGCGTGGCGCTGGAGCCCTCACCCAACCCCAAAGCCACTTGGAGCAGCTCTGAGTCTGGACGCTCGGGCTTCCCAGCCAGGGCCGGGTAACTCCCCAGTTCTCCTCCAACCTTGAAACAACACCGCCACCTCTCTGCGCCGTCACCCCTGCCCACTTACACACATACACCCGGGCGAAGGCACACAAACCCCATCTTCCACTCCTGGAAAACCTGAAGGAACGAACCGCGAAGCAGACCCCCCCCCCCCCCCCCCCAAAAAACATCTACATTCTCTTCCTCGTTTCAGAGGCTGGATTCCCCGCATCTGGGCAAACCAGGACACCTCAATGCGGAGCATCTAACGACTCCAGCCTGAGAAAGCCATTTCTTGAGCTGGCACAAACCCTGGGCGGGGATGCTCCGGAAGAGGCGAGCACGGGAAGAAAGGGAAGGAGGGGAGAGGCGCGGAGGGAGGCGCGGGGGCGGCGGCGGGTCCCCCCGGGTCGCGGGCGCCGCCCCGGCGGGGACCTCGGCGCGGCGGGCCGGAGAGGCAGGGTGACCTTCCGCCGAGGCCAGCTCAAGGAGGCGCGGGCTCGGAGCACCGTGCCGCCGCCGCCGGCTCTCGAGGCTGCGCTCGCCCGCACAGCGGCGAACACCGCGCCCGGGATTCCAGCCGGGCTCGTCCCCGGGCGGAACGCGGCGCTTGCCAGCTCCGCGTCCGGGCCGCGAGCCGCGGCCTCCGCCCGGACACACCCCCGCCGCCCCGGCGGCCGCAGCCTCTCCCGGGGCGGCCCGGGCGGGCGGCGCTCACCTGCACCGCAAGCCGGTCCGCCGCCCAGCGGGCTCCGGAAGCCGCGGCTGAGCTGGGTTCGGCCGGAGAGAGCCCGGCGCCGGTGGTCTGGGAGGCTCCGCGCCGCGAGGGGCAGAAGGACGAGTCCGACGGGCGGCGGCGGAGCCGGGGCGGCAGGAGGAGGAGGAAGACTCGGAGCGCTCGGCTCTCTGGAGACCCACCCTCCTCCTGGCCGCGCTGCAGCAGCCGCCGCAGATCACTTCCGGGGCACCGGGAGGCGGGGCGGGGCCGGCTGGGACTCACTTCCGTCCGCGAGCGCCGAGGAGCGAGCTGGGGGCCGAGGCCGGAGAACAATGGCCGGGAGGGCGCGTGCCGAGTGCGGGCTGCGCCGCCCTTGGGACGGCCCCACCCCCACTCCCCGCGCCCGGCGAGGTGGAGTCGCCTCCCGGGGGCCCGGGCGCGGCCGGGAGGTTCCCGGATCTCGGCGCCGGCGCCGCGCCGCCCCTGTCACTCTTCTGGGGCCGCGGGGGGAGGGGGGTTGTCGGGGAAGGAGGGAGAGCCGCGGCCGCCATCTTGCTCCCGGGGGGGCGGCCGCTTCTCCCCGGCGTGTTCCACGGCGGCGCGGGCGACGTGGCTCGTCGCGAGCCGAGTCCTTGCGGCGGCTCGGTCACCCCCTGCCCCGGCCGGAGCGTCTCGGTGACCGCGGGCCCCTGGGGAACGCTCCCCGCCGACGGCGCCGGGGGCCCGGACACCGCGGCTCTGGCGTCCCGCGTGGCGCCGCCACCACACGGCGGCCCCATCGTGTCTTTTGGTGGCTTCAGTTAGAAGTAGTTCCACTAAGTCGGTTGCTTTATTTGGATCCTTCCTCAGGTTTGAAATTGACCTTGTTGCCTAGCGTCCGTTAGCAAGTAGCCTTGTCTCGTGGCACTCCCGCGCCCCCTCCCCGCCCTGGATGCCCGCTCGCTGCCTTGCACACCTGGCTCAGGGGGTGCCCGGTGCGACGCGCAGACGTAAGAGCAAATACTCCTAATTGGAAGTGTGCTGTGTCAGCATCCGGAGGAGAGACTGGATGACCACTAACTGCGTTGGGTTGTCCAGCGCGAACAGAAGGGGGGGAATGGCAAGTCCGGGTCTTCCCAAAAGAGACCCGCATCCAGCCCAGGGACAGATGATAAGTCCGAGCAGTAATGACAGGGCCTGAGAGTTCAGACCTGGGGTTACTGAAAAAGATGGATCCGGAGAAGCAGATGGGAATCTCTGTGAGCCTCTCCTGCCTCGGTGAAGTCATGAATAGGGGAATGAGCCTGGACGGATTTGCAGCTTGGGCCGTTGGTGGGGGAGCTGGGCAGGAGGGCTTGTAGGCCGGGAGGCGCCGTCGGGGAAACCCAGCCAGAGGCTAAGGACCATTCTGTGAGTGGCAGTTAGCGTCCGAAGAAGGTGGATTCCCGAGATACCGGGATGCCGGATCAGCGGATTGTAAATGTAAACGCTGAGGGCGGATCCTGGGGAAGGGAAGGGAATAGCGATTATGATGCTGTTTTGCCTTGGGGTGGGGGGGGGGGGGGGGTAGAGTTGTAAAAAGGAGCCGCTGACCGGCCGGACTCCGGGGTGACGTGGGAAAGTGCCATCTGGGACCTGGTGAGTGCCGGGCCCTGGTGCAGCCCGATGGCAGCGGCTACATGGGTCTAGAAGGTCTGGGGGAGGTTCTGGGCCGAAGTTACAAACGTGACCGGCTTTGAATCACCACTGGCAAGCCCACTGCAGTTTCCCTTCATTGAGCACAGTTTCAGAACCACTTTCTTGCTCCCTTCTCTTGGGCAAATTGCTGACATACTACATTTCTAAAATCCCCCCATGCTAACACTCAAGTGTGTAATGTTCTTGTAAGGACCACAAAGGTCAGGCTTGCCAGACACTGAGTATGACGGTGTACCTAGCATGGCGTTACAAACTCAGGAGGTGAAATATCAATTTTACGGTTTTTAAAATGTAATCATTGACAATAGCTTATTTATTTACTTTTGAATTAGCTCATTTAAAGTGGCCACAGACCAGGGACTGAGGGTGTAAGTTGAACAAATATCTGTTGAATGGACAGTTAGAAGGAGGTTGACTTCACGAGTGAGCAGTGGGAACACAAAGACAACTGCAAGTTCATTAGCCTGTCTCAGCTGCTTTTTGGTTCATAGCCATGCTAACCTAGCTGAAAGCAGTCAGAAATAGAATGGATCATTTTGAGCCGAGGCTTCAGAAAGCTACAAATAACAAAAGCCCTATAAATAATAGCTACAGCGGCAAACCAGAGACTAATTACTAGTTTTTATTTTTGAACATAAAAAATTAGGAACTCTCACCCTTAGTTCTTAGATTATTCAAATACATTATTCTCAGGCTTCCGAGAGTAGAAATACATGTAGGTGTTTTTAAACAACCATATAATAGATCCCGTACTGAACTGGAAATGAGAACAATGGCCTGAAGTCCCTTTTTTGTTCTTTGCTCACCGTATGACCCTAGCGAAGTCGCTTAACCTCTCCCTGCCCTAGTTTTTGACTGTAAAATAGAAATAATAATGGCCTTCTACTGGCCTGCCTCTCAGAGATATTATAAGAAATAACAAATTAATATTTTAAAAGCTCTTTGAGGTACTTGGATGAAAGGGTGTAATTGTAACTACATATTATTAATAATTAGCACTAATATCCTGTAGAACTCACGAGCCTTCCTAAATTTGCTGCCTGGGCGACTCAACATGAAGGATTCTGTTTTTAAAGTGGGCTTTGATTTAAAAAAAAAAAATAGGGTTAGATTTCTTTTTGACTTGTGAATTTAATTTTTATTATTTATGATCAAACCTTATATGTGTTAAGGTATGAGTAAAAAGTAAAAGAGAAAGCTTAGTAACTGCCGTCTTATATTCACTGCTGTTATAGCTAATATATGCTTTGGGAGGAGGTATAGGTAGGTATGCTTTTGCTGACAAAAGATTCTGAATCTTGTTTAGAAATAAATGATTAGTTTTACTGTAGTATTTTAGCTGGAATTTTCTATGAAAGCATTACTCATGTCGCCATAGAATAATAAGAATTTCACATGCAATTACATGTTGGTCTGAAACATGAAGCATTCCTGTGAATCATCCCCATCGTTATTTAATCAGAAATACAAAATAAAGTGTATAGGCCTGTGAAGCTTTGTCCAATGTCTATCCCTAAAGTAGATGAGATTTTGCCCATTACATTACTGGCTTCAGTATTTCTTTTTTGAAAAGTATATGCATATATAAACACATTTAAACATATTCATGGCCATATAATATGTATATTTTTATACACACACTCATCTACCAATTTATGAAAATATTAATGTACATTAACTACACGTGTAGTAACAACTGTTAGCAACAAAAGCTTCTTTGGGTGTATTGACCAGATAAGAAAGCAGTTGGTTATTGGCCATTTGTCACTATTGATGGGAAAGAACCTCAGAATACGTGTTTATCATTAGTAGAGTTATGAACACTCTATGATACCCCCAGCAGCTTATCATATTACTTCATTTTGTTTTCACAACAACTCTGTGAGGCTCTCATTATTCAAAAAAAAAAAAAAAAAAAGGCTCAGAGGGTTGAAGACTTGCTACAAATTGTCAAGTAGCAGAGGCAATGTCAAATTTTTGAGACTCACGAATGCACTGTTCCCTGTAGTACTTTATACCATGGTTACCGGCTTGATATGACAGTTATGCCAGAATATATTTAGAATAGGGACATTTCTGGCTTAAGATGGCTTGCCTGAAGAAGCTAAAATCTAGCCAACCTTAAGATTTTAGAACTTAAAACTGCTATTCTTGTGTTTATGGCTGCATCTTCACCAAAAAGGCAGGAACTTTATTCATCTTTATATGCTTCATGATGTCAGGCATAAATACTCAAAAGTATTTTAGGGATGAAAACAAGAAGTATATTGTGATGATCAATTGAATACTTTAGGGAAAAAAACCATATTTATAATCACCTCGGAAACTTTTAGGTGTGTGTGTGTGTGCACGTTTTCTGCACAGTCTGGAAAAGATCATTTGTTTTGGTTTGCTTTATAATTTAACTTAGTGAGGCCATTGCCTCAGTTTCCCCCTTCACTTTTATTGGCATCAGGTCTTGGAAAGGTAGGCTTATACAGGTGCCATAAATGACAGTCACTTCTGTGATCCCATTTCTAACATTTTTACTTAAATATTCAAAATAACTTTTTTTTTTTTGATGGCCACTCTGGCGAGAATGTCTAAGGAACAGAGGTCTGATAATTTAGGCCTTTATTATAATTCTCCCCTTCATGTCCACCCTTGTGGACCACATATTTCCATACTTGGGTCAGGATATGAGAGGATAAGACTGAAATGAGTGGTCATTTCACAGAATCACCTGTACAGGTTTAAAGGGAAATCCCACTCCAAACAAAGTCAGTTAGAAAGTCATGGGTGGTCCCGTATGAATATAGTTACATACATACAAAAATATAACAAATAGGGGCGCCTGGGTGGCCCAGTCTGTTAAGCGTCCAGCTCTTGGTTTCACCTCAGGTCATGATCTCATGGTTCATGGGTTCAAGCCCTCTGTCAGGATCCACAGCTGTCCCTGTGGAGCCTGCTTGGGATTCTCTCTCTGCCTCTCTCCTGCTCGCACGGTCTCTATATCTCAAGGCTTATTTTATATATCTATATCTGTCTATCTACCTATCTGTTTATCTAGCAAATATAAACTATCACACCCTCGCTTGAATTCTGATCATCAATCAGGTGTGGGAAGCTCTGGTTTCAGTAACTTACCCGAGGTCACCCAGAACCATAAATAGAGTCAGAAACAAATTCAAATCTTACAAGTCCAGGTTAAGTATCTTTTCACTGGACTTTTAGTATATTTTTACTGACTACATATGATGGGGTAGGGGTAGGAGAGAAAAATAGCAATTTTAATTTTTTAATTATTATTATTTACCATATTCTGTTGCATGGTTTTAAAAGCAAATGAGCTAATACTGTAGAGTGCTTAGAACAGTACCTGGCATGTGGCAAGTACATGTAAGCTTCAGATAACAAGTTTATTGTCTAACGACAGCATTCACTTTGCAAAGGGTTAAAATTGGTAAGACTGTCTTAGATAATAAACATTTTCTGGGTAGGAAAAATGGACGTAAATAATGGTGGAATTCTCAGGCTTTTTTTTGTTTGTCATGAAAGCTCTGCATTTGTGTAGTTGAAAATATTTCTATATTGCTTCTTTCAACCTTTTCTGATCTATTAAAAGAAATGTTAATATGCTTACTATATAAAGTTTCAGACTTGTAGCTGTGTAGTATTTTCATATGATTTTATTTAAGATACAGTTATAGTTAAGGTACGTGAGATGATGGACTGTGTCCTCCTGTCACTAAACTAGCTCCAAAATTGATTCTTATCGTTGTGTGATCAAGTATTTGTTGTTTAGAAGCCATTGGCTGCTCATATTGATCTTTCAAATGAAATACTTCCCTGGAATGAGGTAATACATAAGCTTGGTTCTATTTTAATTTCTCTACTTCTCTACAGGTTTCTTTGTAGTCTTTCAACCTTGGGCAAACTATTATACTTGTTAACTGTAAATAAAACTGTACATTTTCACCACTAGAATCTCTAGAACTCCATCTGATGTTTTTAAAGGCTCTTTGATATATTTTGACAAAGTCTTTAAAAGTATGCTTTTGGTCAGCATCTGTTAAAATCGATACCCATCTTAGTTTTTGTTCAATTTCATAAGTTTTGTTACTTTTCAGAGGAATTATCACATCCCCAG